CACATGTCGCTGAGAGCATCTCCATCCATGAGCCCCCATAATGGGCTCTGTGGATTAAATTAGTTCAAAACAAGATGATTTGACAAGTTAAGAACCTTGGTTAATGTAATTAATTTTTTCTTCCTCCATTGGGAGAACCTAATAAGGGTTCTTAAATTTTCTTTTTTTTTATAATAAGAATGATTTAAAATAAAAACATACATTAAAATTAAAATTAAGAATAAAAATCATTTAAAAGCATAATAAAAAGACAAATACAAATAGTAAACGAGAAAAAACCGATTAGTTGAAATCTTGATTTGTTCCAAATTTCCACCATATATTCTCAACCAAATCAGCTTTCAATTGTTGATGTGTAGTTTTATCAGGAACTCGATTCCGAATACTCATCATATTACCGATATTTCAAGGCATATATGTAAAATACGTGAAATCCACTTGTGACGTTCTGTTTGAATCCGGTTGTGCAAAAACTGATACATCAAACTGAGTGTACCCATCTCGTTCGTCTTCTACGATCATATTATGTAGAATGATACATGCTCTCATTATCTTTCCAATTTTTTCTTTATCCCACAAAAGAGCTGGATTTTTTACTATGGAAAATCGAGCTTGCAAGACTCCAAAAGCACGCTCGATAACTTTACGTACACTTTCTTGATGTGTAGCGAATAAGGATGCTTTCCAATCTTGTGGAAGTGGAATAGATTGGACAAAAGTAGCCCATTTTGGATAAATATCATATGTGAGATAATAAGCCAAATTTTTCTCGTGTCTGTTGACTATGTAATTAACTTTTGGAGCTCAACCTTGTAATATATCATCAAAAACCGGTGATCGATCAAGAATATTGATATCGTTTAATATACCTGGAGGTCCAAAAAATGCATGTCATATCTAGAGATCTTGTGAAGCTACAGCCTCCAAAACAATGGTTGGCTTTCCTGATCCACGTGTATATTGACCTTGCCACGCAGTCGGACAATTCTTCCACTCCCAGTGCATACAGTCAATGCTTCTTATCATCCTGGAAAATCCGCGTATCTCTCCAATATCGAGTAGTCGTTGAAGATCTTCTGGCGTGGGTCTTCTTAGATACTCTTCCAAATAAATGTATGACTCCTTCAAAAAAATGTTCCAAGCATAAAAGCACGGTGGTCTCAGCAAGTCGGAGGTATTCGTCGAGCGCATCAGCTGCGCAACCATATGCCATTATACGAATTGCTGCTGTTGCTTTTTGTAACAGGGAGAGACTGAACCTTCCAGTAGCATCTCGTCTTTGTTGAAAGTATGGGATTTCAGCAGAGAGTCGATCAACAATACGCATGAACAAGGACTTGTTCATTCAAAAAAGACGTCGAAACATGTGAGATGGATATGTTGCATCTTCACTAAAATAATCGTTCTAGAACTATATCTATCCTTGCTCTTGTTGTATTTCAATGTAGACTCGTTTCTTTGTGTTTTTTTTTGTTGAGCTTCATGATGAATGAGAAGATTTTCAAATTTTTGATCGAAAATTTGACCGAGACGTTCATCTATCATATCTTCAATATTATTAGAAGAAGGTGCCATTGAAAATCCTGAAGAAAAAAAAAATTGACATTCATCATTAATATTATATACTTGACCGGGGAAAGTAAATTTCAAATTAGAATGAATACAAATGTACAAGAATAATTAGATATTAATTAGGCTCATAATTTCAAATTAATATGTTATATTTGGTTGAGACTACAAAAATAATTAGATATTAATTTGGTTTAGATTTTCAAATTAATATGTTAATTAGGCTCATAATTAAAATGGTAAAATGTATATATACCTCTTTTTTTTGCTTGTTTACGATGTTGGAGAGGTCACGGTAAAGAGAGACAAGGAAGAACAAATGGTAAAGAGAGACAATTAAGAACAAATGGTAAAAACAAATGGTAAAGAGAGACAATGAAGAACAAATGGTAAAGAGAGACAATAAAGAACAAAAGCATTTACTTATACGATCGCATGAAATGGTAAATACAGTGTTATGTTTCTGAATCAACAAAGCATTTACTTGTAGAGAGAAAATAAATCAATCTCCTTGTTCACTGCTGGTGTCTTGGCTCCTTGTGTCACGGGAGAGACTGCTGGTGTCTTGTCTCCTTGTGTCACGGGAGATACATCTTCTATCCACCTAAAAAGATAAAATTACAAAACATAATGGCTTAATATATTATACAAAGCAACAATACAACATCTGAGACAAAGCAACTCATCTTTTATAACCAAAGATACATAATAAAACATCATCTTCACTCTGCCCACTCCTTAACTGTTTGGTGGCATCATCATAGCATCCGACAAACTTACATACCCCTTCGTTAAGTTTCCCCCAACTTTGTTTACACTGTCTGGCCTCTCGCTTTTGGCAACCAAAAAGCTTCGGACTTGCAGCAAAATAGTCTGCAATCTGATTTTAAAATGTGATTGCCTTCTGTTGATTCCCCACGACAAGATCTTTGGAGGTTCTGAGCCACGCACTGATGAGCACAAAGTCTTCAGTGGGTAACCATTTCCTTTTTGATGCACGGTCAGACACGGTTTGTTCAGCTTCGGTTGCATCTTGAGCCTATTGGGTACCAAAGACAGAGCCATCCAAGGAGGTGAGATCTATACTAGGTTCACGAGTTGAAAAGAAAAAGGAGGTGTTTGATTGTTGACTGTTTAAGAGGTTTTGGAAGCTACAATTTTGACTAAATGGATCCATAGCGAAGAACAATTAGAAGATATGAAAAGATTATCAAGTGAGAAGGTGATATGAAAGGAATTAACAAAGAAGATGTGAAAGGAATTGTCAAACGAAAATAGGAGAGTTGCTCGGTTTTAAAGGAAAAGTTAAAGAGAGGTTTTATGTGTTAATGTATGAATGCATATACAAAATTTAATGGCAATCAATTAATGACAATCGAGAAAGTCAATGTATACACCTAAAACTAACCAAATAATTTACTGTAAAGCTTTGGACACAACTAACAATTTGATTTAATATCATCCTAATAAATGTCTAACACGCATTAAAAAGATTGTCTACTTACCTCTTGTAAAGTGAAATGAAAGAACGTAGCTTTTGATGTTGTCTGATTTCCGTTGATGTTTTTTTGATCCGTTTCTTGCTAATCCATTGCTATATCTAATAAGAAGAATACAAAAGATTGATAAATAAGATAATGGAACACAAAAAGATTGATAAATCAAGCTCTAACACTAAGAGATGAACATGTACAAGTAGCAAGATCTACACCCGAGTTTTAAATCGGAGTTGTGATTGAGATCAACACTATCTAACCTTCAGGGTGAGCTTCTTCACCACTTGCCGCAGAGAACCCACTTCTTGATGTTCCAGTAGTTGTTGACTTAAATGGACTTGCTTCAACAATAACCATTCCAAAACAAGATCAAGCCCAAAAGACTCGATCACAAAACAGATCATAAACAACAACATTGAATGGAGAAAACTTTATGTAAAACCCATATGAAAAAACAATAAAGCAAGACTCCAAATCAAATTAACAGAAGGTTTCATCGTCTGACCAAGACTTAAACCATACAAGGATTGTATAAGAAGAGTAACCTTTATGCATCAAACATAAAACTAACACTGGTTTTGAAGATGAATCTTAACGTATTACAAAAGTTGAAGTCAAACTCATAAATCAACCTTTATGCATCAAACATAAAACTAACACTGGTTTTGCAGATGAATCGCCAAAAAATGAATCATCAAAACAGCAAAAATAAAATAAAATCAAGCCTTACAAAGCTGACCAGAGATTAATAACAGAGTCACATCTCATCATGGAACAAAAATTATTCGATTCTAATCCAAGGAATTGAATTCACGAGAACAACAAATTAACATAATCCAAACCTTCACGGTGATGGAATGGACGGAAGTGGAGCAGCAAACATCATCTCCGTTGGAGACTCAACATCGACGCGTAAAGAGAAGCAGCAAACATCATCTATGTTGGAGATTTCAAGAGAATCGATGACGGCGAGAGACACCAACTGACCGACAGGTTTGGACAAATGGAAGAATAGAACGATGAAGCAACGGATCAAACTTGATCTCCCTTGGAGATTTCGACAAAATCAACATTCGATTCATCTCTTCAGCACTGTTTGAACTTCGAAATTATCGAAGGAGAGAGAGACCGATGAAACAAAGAAAACAATGTTAAAGCATAGTACCAATGTGAAGATGCCATGTGAGTTTTTTACTAATTCTCAAACCTCTCTCTTCAGTATCGGTTCTCCACTTTAATTGTATTTTTTATTTGCTTTTTGGGATTTTTTGTTAGAGAAACCCCTCCTAAACCTCAGTGGAGGTGGTCTTAGTCGCAGCACCAGTGATGACGTCACATGAGAATATATATATATAAGTTTTTGCCCGGCCTACCTCAAAACTGATTGGAGAATATTAACTACTAATTAATCCTTGTGGTGAGCTAAGCAGTGGACTGTATTACATAACCCTTTTGTTAAAACCACGGTTACAACTAAGTTGTGGACGATTTGTTTGACCAAAACGAAGCAATCTAGTTCTCTTACACCACAGAGGAGTTAGAATCTGATTATATTGAAACGACATCCCTTAGCCAAACTCAACCCTTACTAGGTAAACTAAGATGATCATGTATTGGAAACAAAGGCTTTGAACACAAGAAAAATGTAACCAAGGGATATAATTTTAGTACTAACATATATATAAATGCAGTTCATACTGAGAATGGCGTTTTACACAAACAAAACCAAGGTTATGTAGCAAAGAACACAATTAATATAAACATGTTGAAAAAATATTCAGGATTGAGGATCATACAATATATCACTAACACATTTGAAAAAAGAAAAAAAAATTCAGGATTGTGCCACTGCCGCAGTAGCGTCAATGGAACGAAGAGCTTTGTTTGCAAAATAGCAAACATCAACATCAGGTCCTCGCTCAGGTCCACCAAACACTAACGTAATGTTTTCTCCACCACCTGCCAAACAAACATTGACGTATTGGAGAAGCTTATTGTTTGGTCGCAACACTGGATATACGGCCAAACAGTAGGCTTCTCCAATCCCTTATCCCCATAGTCGACCAAACAATATGTCAGTGTTTGGTGGACCTGAGCGAGGACCCTAATGTTGATGTTCGCTATTTTGCAAACCAAGCTCTGTGGAACTAAGTTCTGCATTGCCCATTCAGGACCAAACTCTTCTGCTAGGCGCTTTAGGTTGTTTGCTGCAGCTTCATGGATAGAGTATACTTGAAAGAGAAGAAGAGAACAACGTCAATATCCAGAATCACAAATGGATGAGAAATTATGCCAAACATCAAAGGATTCTTCAAGGTGAACCTTGTCTTGCAGCCACTGCATGGAAAGGGCTCCAAGCTTGTTGTCAAAGAACCCTATACCTAACTGGCTAGCCAACAGAGGAACATATTCAATTATAGCAAGCCTAAATCTCCAGTGACGGTCCTCAGCAAGCTCTACAATTGCTGGTAACAAGGATTGTGATAGCAAATCAATCCCAGTAACCTAGACGAAAAGATATTCAGTTACAAGTTGAGAAACCAAGAAGCATTATAAGAAGCTAAATCTAAGACAAGCGAAGCAGGATATGCAGCAGCAAACCTGGTTGACTTCATCTAGTTTTCTTATGATGTTGAGCCGTACATCAGGAAATTCATCTTTCAAAAGTGAAAGAAATATTGGTACCAGATGCTCAATGGTTGAATTGTGTATTGAAGATTTTAGTAAGTTAATAATTACTGATAAACCACATACTGTAGTCACAAGATGTGAAAAAATGTTGGCTATCATCAGCCTCATACCTTCCTAAGGATAGGAGCTATCCCCATTATTACAGAAGCAGGAGCAGAGTGGACATGTTGAGAACTGTCGGATGATAATTTCTGCAGACATAAGTAATATTACACCGAGACATATTCATCAGAAAACACGCTTGTATCAGCTGATATAGAATGTACCTTCACACAAGGAAGGATGTCTTGAATCGCAAGCTCTGGATAAAGCTGGCAGAACTTGGTCACCTTTCCTGCTGCTGCTATCGCACTTCAGCTTCGTTGTCTCGTAGCAGTCTCACATATGTTGAAACCAAATCCATCCTAAATATATTATTACAACATAAAATTTGTCAACATGTACAAACGTAAAGCGTAACGAATAAAAAAAAAGAAGAAAACTTCCAGTAACGATCTCAGACCTTGTGGAATCAGGACCCACTGCCTCACAAAGTTCATATAGCTGATTAGCAACCATGTACCGCACCCTCCAAGATTTATCCTGCTCTCACAAAACAAACCATATAACTGTATAAAAACGTTAGGATTGCAAACTCTTACCAACGCAGATGAATGAATGAAAAACCAAACCTCAGTTCATCTGAGATAAATTAACAATAACAGGTAAAATGCGTGCAACACTTTCCTGGGTTTCAACAACTTTCCAAGAGCTGCGCAGCTTTCCACAACCAACATTCTAACAGAATCTTGGTCTGAAAAGAAGATTGAAAATTTTTAACATGCATAAAAAATACTCAAAAGTTTATTAATCAAGTCTTGCTACGTAGTTTTCAATTGCCATTCATTTACCATGCTCTCTGTGTCTATGTACAACGTTTCCAAAAGATGAGCACATATAGTAAGATAGAGCAAATACCATCTTTAGTAAGACCATAGAACATAGTCAAGATCTCAGCACTCAAATAGCTGGACTCCACAGTTGCAGAAAATTTCCCAAGGTTAGAAGCAGCAACTCTTCACACCATAGGCATATCATCTTTGCACAACTGGCTATAACTAGACTGTAACTCTGTCTTAAGCACATCAGCGCAACCTTGGTATGCAACATGAAATAGACCACATGTGGAAACTCTGGCTGCAAACCATTCACCAGCTGCAAGTCTCTACAAAGATTAAGCAACAGAACAAATTGATAAGCCTTGTCTGAGAAAAACTTGAGAAGTAACAAAAGGGTGCAACTTAATGCTAAAACGAGGGTTCTAAAAATCGTTATTATCTGGAACGATTTTCATAATCCAATTTACAGGATTCAAACGGTTTTAAATCAGTTTAAATCAATCTCAATTAGTCTAAATCTGTTAAACTAAAAACTAATATTAGTACAAATACACAAATTTATCTAAATTCTTTTGTTTTGTACATCTAAATTTGATTCATGAAAAAAAATTTATAATTGAAGTTAAAACAAAATTTTTTTATATAAATGTAAAATCTATATCAAATAAATCAATAATTCAGCAATGCCTAGGCCCCAAATAATCTGCCTAACCACAAATCCTTTATAAAGTGTATAGTTATGTCTAACGAATTCTTGAACATTGGCTAAAACTATATCCACCGTACCTTCCCAAGAGGGACGAAGTAGTCAACAAGGTCACTCTCTCTCATTTGAGAACTAATCTTACAAAGCAATTCCACAGCTTTCTCTCTCACACACGTCTCTTCAAAAGTACAGAGAGACTCCAAAGGAAGGAGAAGCACATGCGCATACTCAACTCCTCCAACATATGGAATAAAAACTCCTAATTTACTCAGATACTCTGTTTTTTTAATATATTTTTCTATTTTACTCATTTCGTTTCTCCTTATATTTTTTCACACATTCGTTTTGTTTCTTATGTATCTCTCTTTGCATTATTTTGTATGTCTTTGTACATCTCTCTCGCTCTCTTTTTCTTTCTCTCTCTCTTAGTTGATCAAATAATCTCAAAATCTCTCAAACTTACATTCACTCTCTCACAGTCATCTATATTCATTTTCTTACCCTCGTCCTTAATATGATCCTCAATATTTCATTTTAAAACTCTTTCTATCTTTTTTTTGTTGCAAAATTTTCACCAGATTTTGTTAAATCTTCTAAACACTTTGACATAGTATTAATAAATGATTTCAGAATCTATCTCACTTATATTCAGTCTCTCACTTATATTATTTTTCATCTTCATTATGATCATAACCGACTCTCTAATCCTTATCATCACCATATCTCCCTCTCTTTCTCCCTTTCTTACATATTTTTTATTTAGAATTTATTATAAAATCACAATTGACTAACCAAATAAATTCATTATCAAATTCTCTCCAATCTTCACACTATCTTATCCAAATTTTCATTGAAAAAATAAATATTTTATTATTAATTTTTTTTTTAATTACTTCATAGTTTTCATTACATACATATTTTAAGTAAATCTAAATAACTGTATTTCAAAAAAGTAAATTTGATTAAATAATTATATAACATAAAATATCTTAATTCTTAAATGATGTGATGTCATTATTTTAGACATAGATTAATATAAACATGAGATTCAACAGTTTTAATATATCAAAATAACATGTTTCTAGTTGTATAAATTTTGTTATAACTTTGTTATCATATATTTTTAAAGTTTATTACAGCACAAAAAATACTTATCATTATTTTAAAATAAATTATTTTAAAATTAATTTGCGTTATATTTTGCATCTTCAACATTAACAATTTTATGACTTATCATTTATATTTATCTTCCTTGCTCAATTTTTCCTTATGTTGTATAAACACCTAAATATAATTAGTTTACGATTATATTAATACGTAAAAAATAGTTTGGTATACAAATAAAAAAATTATGTATGTACAAATACAAAATAACGAAGAATACAACAAAAGGTTTTATTATTATTCACTCATGTTTTTATTTATGTCTCTTTTTTTCTTATTAAAAATAAACATGAAAATTTTATTATACTTAAAGCTATATGAATTATATGAATATAATATTAACTCTAATCTTGTATCAATATAATGTTTTGATTTTTTTGTAATTTTATATTATAATAAACTTTTTATTTATTCATATTTTTGAAAATGACATACCATATAATTTTCTGTTTTAAATATAAAAATACTTAAATAATTTTTGTAAGTGATAACTCAACTATACTATCGACATTTATCTCTGGAAAATGATAGATTTTTTTAAAAAATTTACATTTGACTGTTTTGCATTCATTAAGCATATTTTAAGAATACATATATATAGTGAGTGAGTATAAAAATATTATTATTTTTCTGTAATATATGATTTTTTATCCAAAATTAATAGAAACAAAATCAAAATCGTTTATATACTTATTTATATAATATAATATGTATTTATATGTATATTCTAATTTTAATGGAATATGTGATATTTAATTGTTTCTATAAAAAATTCTATTAATCCTATGTATTTAAGATGGTTAATTGTTTGTTTGGTAATATATATTATATTAGGTAATTCTAGGATTAGTTTCTTTTAAAAAAAATTTAATTAAATAAATGAAAATTCAAATGCCAATAACCAATCAATTAAGAGAATTAATTCTACATTGTACCTATAAATGACACGTAAGCAAAATTCATTAAAGTGACTTCTCTTTTAATATATAGGGGGATGTTTTATTTTTATCAATTCTTTTGGACAAAACTAAAAGAAACAAGACTAAGCAAAAATCACTCCAACATTATTTGAGAAATAACTTCCGAAAATTTATTTGTGTCATCACTATATTTACTTTTTTGTTAAATGACATGTTTTAATGAAAAATGTGACATGATTTATTTCTTATTTTTATGTACAATTTTAATGATGAAAATTTTCATTAATAGCAATATTCCTAAATAAAGTTAATAATTAAAATTTTAAGTTATTACAAGATTCCTAAATTAAAATATAACTAATTTTGGCTATATATCACCTTTTGATTCATTGTAAACACACATAAATAAATTAATGGTGAAATTTTAAAATTACAATATTATATCTAACATACAGTAACTAAATTTTCCTATCCACCATAAATAAATTGAATAAAACCAAAAATTAAATTACAACATTCTTAAGCTTAATAGGAAAACCTGAATAACACATCTTTAACAATAATTCTAGTTTTTTAATATTTTCAACCAAAAATATTTTTTTTGAAATTTTAATAAATTAACTTTATTGTTATTTACGATATACAATCAAAAGAATAAGTTATGCGCATGTCGCGTAAAACCACCTAATGTAATACACATAAGTAGATTTAGTAGTTTCGGTTTACTCTTCATTTTGGATTCTTTAATCTACATGTGAAGTTGAGTTTATGTTAAAATTAGAAATGATGGTTAACTACACCATACTAAGATATCGCTAACTATATAGAGTATGATTATTGTGATATGTATTAGCTACATTGTTAGCACCATAACTTTATATTCAATGTTTAGAAAATTACGATATGGTGGTTAGACGTCTTCTAAATCATTATTTTTAGACGGATGTTTACACTATTTTTGAACGTCTAAACCGAATTAAAAAAAAAGATCGAATTGAATATTTTGTTTATACCTTATTTGGTTACTTACATATGCTATACGGATTTTGAGAGCACTGACCCTTTTGTTGCCAAAACAATAACCTTATATCTAAAAACAATTCATTCTAGATAGAAAATCGACAAGAACCTTTTTTTTTGTTTGGACAAGAAAATCGACAAGAACCAAATAACCAATTTGAACCACTTTAAATCTATCAGTAAGTATTATAATTAAATCCAATCCAGCCAGTTTTCTATTTGGAAAATGTCGGTTTGTCAATACTGAGTTGTTGTTTTGGTGTGTAGTCCACTATTATAGTAATAAAAATATAAACATGGTGTTAATTATAGCACATGTTAATTTTGATAAATATTGTCATATAATTCATCTAGTTAAAATATATATTAGTAGGTGCAGATATGTGGTTATATGATAACATATAGATAATATGTTAATGTACCTAACAATTATTGTTATTTTTTTTAAATTCAGTTGGAAATATAAAGAAATGAATCCATCTTTTAATACAAAAAAAAAATCCATCTTTTAAGATTATGTTTGACTTTCAAATCGATTAATTTGGGTATGGTATCAGATCAAATCAGTTGGTCAGGATTTTATATAGCAACACTAAATGATCCAATTAATAATGAAAACTGTATTTCAACAAACAAAAATCAGACAACATGACTTCATGCTGAGTTGTTTTACTTTTAACTTTCCCAAAACAAGGAATTAAGAACTTATTTGAAAATGAAAAAAAAAAAAATACATTAACTGTGTATACAAATCAACTATTCACCACCATAATTAAACTGCAAGTGCTTCTGCTAAGCACTGGAGCTAAAGCAACTGCTAAGTCTTGTCCAAAACCCAGCTTTAACTATCTTCTTCTGTGTCTCACTAACCGGCTCTTTGAAACCGGCTTTGGTGCTTAGCTCCTCAAATGCATTGACAACATTCTGGAGCCTAGCAACAAACTCGATCAAAAGAGACGCAAATGTGGCCAGGGATAAAGAACTCGCACTTTCATATACTTTGGATTCTATCTCATTGATCATATTACCGCCAATGAATGAGACGCTTGGCCACTGTTCTCGGTTCCTAAGCATCATACTCTCTGTTGAAATCCATACCTGGGATTCATTACCATTGTGTGGATTCTGATGATGGTTGTTAGTGTCCCAGATCTGGCTGAGGGTTTGGAATACTTTGGTCTCGTCGTCTTTGGATTCGTGATAGTTTTCTTGTGCTTCTTCTGCATCTGCTTTCGCTTTCATAGCAGCCCAGCTTTCTGAGTTGACAAGAAGGAAGGAGTTCTTATCTATTTTCATCTGCAGGTCCTCTGCTGCTCGTTGAACATCCTTGAGAATGTTTCCTAGGCTTAGTTTCTCCATTTTCTCCACTTTTTCTGCAAATAATCTCAAGACTTTGGCTCCTTCGTTTCCAACTCTTTGAAGTTCGTGACGGAAAGCTTGTCTTTTCTCTGGAGCTGCCTGCAAATCACACACCCATCAATACCAAATGAAGAGGGTACTGTTCATAAGTCATATCAAATGAAAGTCGGCCTTAGTCATAGTCATAGTCATAGCCAAAACAGTGAGAAGTCAACACAGAAACTACTGACAAGGGTTATCTGGTAACAACGGATTCTAAAATAGTAAATTACACTCTGCAGCCAAACTAGGGCTGGGCTGGAAATGGGCACAGCCGTATGAAACATTAGCCTCGCCCCCGAAATTTTTGTATAGGCCCCACAATGATGAAAAAAGTTTTTATTAAAGTTTTTAAAACAATGTTTGTAGCTTCCGAAATTTCAGATTTGGCCATGAGCCAACCAGTAACACAGTCTACTTCATCAGGAAAAGTAACCTAGTCATATTTGAAGCTGTTGAGCATAATCTGTAATATCATGCCATAGGTAGAGTTGAATAACAGGAATAATGTTACCTGAATTTCTGAAAGAATGCAGCCATGCATAGCCATAACCATGAAAGCACAATGCCTAACGGCACCACTAAGTTTGACATAGTTAGCCCACGGATGATGGAAAGTCCTG